CTACTGTTCCAGATTGCCTGGCTTCTTTTTTCTTTTGTAAGAATTTGAGTTCTGCTCCATATTTTTCTCCCATTCTATCCGGAACCAACTATTGTGACCGTGGTTAGAACAGTCAGTGGTGGTGACCGGGCAACATCTAGTTCTGGTCTCAGGGTAGATGAGGTCATGGTTCATGTAGACCATTACACTGACTCTTGCCCCAACTATTAAGTTGTTTTATTTGGAACAAAGACTGAATCTGGCCTATCATGCTCTTATTATATATGGTTCACTTTCAATGAGGTTCATAAGGGTAAAAAATGAGTAAGGAGTTCAGGATTCAAAATAACTAGTGGTTTGCCTACAAGAAGCCAACTCAACTGCAAGAAAAGTGAAACATTCAGCCATTTCTATCATGCTTTGGTCTCCAGAACACTAATGACTACATTTCCCAGTGAACTGCCTATTTTAATATCTATCAGATAAAGACTTCAAAAAAAAAAGGAATTAACTTAGATTGTTCAGCTTACTTTTCAATTTATTTATTTATTTTTAAAGACTAACATTTGTTCTTTTATGGAGATGTTATCAATATTTCCCAGAGATCAAAGGCCATATTTTTAGTTATAAGAAAACCCAAGCTTAATAATTGTGTAGCTTTGGAGTGCATGGATTATCATTCTTCCTTTGGGAAGTTGGACTTATGTTTTACAAGTTTTATGACTATTTTTCATCTATGAATTTTAATTCACTATATACTTGGTATCAATGTTCTGCTAATCTGTTTTCCCAACTGACACCAGATCACATGTGGCCAGCAAGGCAGAGCTTATTCACCCAGCTGGTATGGGAATGTTTTGCAGCCATTCACGTGTCATCACCCCATGACTTGAACGCACGCACCAGTTTTCCTCTCCCGTTAAGAGAGGGACTGGAGTGAATGAAAGGTTTCCACCAGCTCAGCTGAAAACCATTTTCATGGGACCTGTCAGGGGGAGCATGAGGCTGAATTAGAGCATTTTAAAAAAAAGTTCTAGACCTTTACTGTCCAATTTCAAAGTAATGCCCAGGGAATCTCTAAAGACAGAATTCTTAATTCCTACAGTCACTTTCCACTGAACGTCAAAGGCAGAATTTTATCTTACTCTGTTGGTTTATTTTCATTGGGGTGGAAAATACCATAGAAATTTTCATTTTTGCATTGACATGAATTCTGAATACTTCTTCCTAAGTCATATCCTTACCCCTCATACTTTAGCTTGTGGTACTTTTAAGTCCTTAATTATCTGCTTTTCTAGTGTTCAACACTGTGGGCTTCCTGGCGTTTCTGTGTGTTCTCATTTTGCTGAGAACTAGGAAAATGTAGAATGGCATCTAGGGTGTGTGTGTGTGTGTGAATAAATTATAAAGAAAAAAATTTTTTTCTAATTCTGTATCCAAGCACAGGCAAAAAGTATCCAAAAGTGCCTAACCAAATCTCCCTTCTGACCCCCCAAAAATAAATTAGGACACAGGTTGTTAAATATTAAAATGTTTGCGAGATTAATCTGAGAATGTTTAGACAGGAAAATGGAGAGGTACTTAATTAGAAAGAAAAACAAATCTTAATGCTCTCAAGGAACATGAAGAAAATAGCAAAACATTTGCCACATGGAGAAGGAAAATTACTCTTAATGATTTTATGGTCAACATAAGATTTACTATAGATACATGACTGACTGGATTTGGCCTTGGCTAAAAGTGCCGTTTAAAGAGAGTAAAAATGTAACTTGTTTAGTTTTTGGCTATTACATCTACACAGATTACACCTAGGTAGAGAAGAACAATAGATGAGGCAGGATGTTTCATGATGGTATTTCATGCGGAGGTCAAACAGTCAGTTCACTCTGGAAATTGTCTACTAGAGCAGTTGGTCTCAACCTTGACTGCACCCTGGAATCACCTAGAGAGCTTTACATGTACTGAGACCAGGGCCCCAGCCCCAGAGGGTCTGGTTTAATTGGCCTGAATATCTGAATTTTCAAAAGTTCTCCAGATGATTCTAATGTGAAGCTAAGTTGGAGAACCTAAGAGTATTCTGAAGAAAGAAAAAAACATTTAGAAACATAATGTAGGCATTTGCATAACTTAGTTGCAATGGTATTGAGAAAAATGATGATATGACCTACAGAAGCAAGGCATATTGAAAAAGACAGGCTTGGAGAGAAACTTCCATTAACCACAAGTGAAAAATATTCCTGGATTACAGAAAGGTATTTCACCCAGTGCCAACTTAAAACATACCTTCACCAGGAACATCCAACTTCAGTTATGATTAGGTTTGTAGCAAACACACTTTTAAAAAGCAATTTAGTTTCCTGATTAGACCTTCCTAACATGGGAAGGACGTGTTATCAGGAGGAATCAGTCCCTGGAGAAGGACATCATGCTTGGTAAAGTACAGGGTCAGCGAAAAAGAGGAAGACCCCCAACAATACAGACTGACACAGTGGCTGCAACAATGGGCTCAACCATAACAACTACTGTGAAGATGGCACAGGAGCAGGCAGTGTTTCGTTCCGCTGTACATCGGGTCGCTGTGAGTCAGCGCCGACTCGACAGCACCTAACTACACACCACCACCACCAGATGGGATGTATCCTCAGCAGACACAAGGTTCTCAGTCTGAGGGCCCAGACTTTGCCTGTGTGGGCGAAGAACATCTCTGTCTTGTTTACCACTGGTAACTGGCTCGTATTAGTCACTCACTAAATACCATCACTCATACATGGTCAAACTTCACATGATGTATACAACTCAGTTCCCTATGGGTGATGTGAGGGTCTCTCCTCCCATGGCTAATTAGATCTTAGGACATACTGGAAGATGAAGGTAAGCTGATGTCCCATTATAACCTCATCATGCTATGAAAAACAGTTCCTATGTATTGTGATGTAACATTAAGGCTCTTGGCACAATGATCAATAAATCTATTTCTGACAAATAAAAATCGAATCGAATCAGTTCTGGTTTCTTTAATTTCAGAAATATCATGTGTCTTTTTCTTCTAACTTTTTAATGAAATCTCTGCTTACAATCTGCTCTGCTCATCAAAACCACTTAAATTTAGATTAGCAATGTGCCAGGTAGGAAACCATTTTCCCTGCCAAGAGTAAAGAATGACTTTGACATTCGGCTCATTTAGAGACAGTGACCTAAGGTCTTGCTAGAAAGAAATTAATTTTGGCACAGTGATTTGTGAGTACCCTCAAGCAACTCTCCTGTACCATAAGCCTTGAATTCCACTTTTACACCAAATGACTTGGGGTTTTCCTTTGCAGAGTCTGCTAAAGGGGCACCAAGTGCAAGAAGATGTTGTGCTGAAGAGTAGTGTTCTGCGTGCACCATGCGGGACGGCAGCCAGCACACAGCACTAGTGACCCCCCACTGTGCTGCCAGCACACAGACCAGCTCTGGCAAGGCTCCTAACATTGGTCTGGAGCTTGTAATGATTACAGTGGAAGAGAAACATCACGGCATTTGGTCACATATTGAGAACTCTGCAGGTTTGAGGAGAAAGGTAAAGAAATGACTCTGGCCTCAATCCTAGTAGGAAAGAAAAGAAAATATTAGGAGGCTTGGGGCTCAGGTCCTGAGTCTGTCACTAAGTAGCCGTGTAACCTTGGGGGAAGTTCCTTGACCATTCAAAGTCTCACCTTCCTCATCTGTAAAATGGGAATATTAACAATAACAGCTAGTTTATGAAGTTGTGAAAATTAAATTAGACAATACACACAACACTTACCACAGTGCTTACATACAGTTAGACCTCGGTAATTATTCACCACTAGTTATTAACTACTGAACATGATTAAGCAGGGAGATTGTACTATCGAAAATAATGAATGTTACAGGAAAAAGGCATTTGTTAGAAAAGCCTGGTTTAGCTGAAGGACATGTTCTGACACTAACAGGCTAGCCTGAAAAGCCTCAACCCTGGGCAGCTCAAGCTCTTCTGTGATTCTGTGAATCCGATTTCGTGGAACATGTAGTTCTTTGGGTGGTCAGTCTGCACAGGGTGTAGTATTTAAAAAATTCACAAACTAATAACTGGAAGAAAGGAAGAGCCTGATCCATCCGTTACTTCCCTGACACCAACTAAAACACCACTCCTAAAAGTGAGTGTGTTTTAAAGGGTCCTTCTAAGTGTCAAAGTTAGCAAGGGCTAAATAGGAAATTTTAATATATGATTTTTAAATATTTAATCTGTAGCAGGCATGGAGTCTTTAAAAAATTCATTGTGAACTTTGGCAGAAATTATTTCAACCTTCACAACAGAATTCATATTGTAAGATCACAGCTAGATGAGACCTGTATGAGACCCTACCAAAACCAAAAAACCAAACTCATTGGCATCGAGTCAATTCCGACTCATAGCAACCCTATAGGACAAAGCAGAACTGCCCCATGGGGTTTCCAAGGCTGTAAATCTTGACGGAAGCCGACTGCCACATCTTTCTCCCATGGAGCAGCTGGTAGGTTCCAACTACCGACCTTTCGGTTAGCAGCTGAGCGTTTAACCACTGTGCCACCAAGGCTCCTTGTATGAGACCCTCCCTCCCTGAGTCCCTGAGTCTCAGAGAGATGAAGTAACCAGCTATAGTCAGCCCATGACTAGCATCTTGTCCCCCATTCCTGGCTTTCTTCATGAAATCAACCTGCCTCACTTTCCAAATAATCTACAAACAAATAAATGGCTATAGGCATAACGTCCATGTGGCGAATTAGAACTTCACAGTATGACTTTTGAACTTGCAAGTACTGATATAAAAAGTTCTTTTTAAAGGTCACTGCCTCCAAAATGTTGGCACTTGGCACTTAAAACATGTATACATACAACCAAATTTTGTTACATTTTCACAAAAATTATTTGTAGATTCAAAGTTACAGTTATTTCTGATAAATGCTATCTATAGAACATACAATTTAATTTCCAAATGTTCCACTTTAATAGTAGTGCTACCCCCACAAAAAAATCTTACCTCAAAAATTTCAAAGCCATAAATGTCCAAAACACCCATGACCTTCTTTCTCACTTTTGTTTGTGCCTTTAAAAAAAGTTTCAAATTAATTGATTGATTTAGGCATGAAATACAACAGTAAACAAAGCAAACCAAGGAATGTACTTGTATATGATAAACTTAATTGTGTTTCTTTATGAAGAGAATAATTGTCATTTTTTTTTAACTGATGAGATAGGATATTGGCATGGAATGTCCCAGAAGCTTTAGTAATAAGTGAGTTATTTAAAGAAAGCACTAGCAGTGCTTAATTATAAAAACAGGTCACTGTACCTTACAATATGTACAGTCTTTCAAAATCAACCTGGCCAACACTCTCATTTTACTGATGAACATATTAGTACCTAGAGCAGTAAAGTGACCTTATCAGCCAAGTGTTTGCGGCTATTTAATAGACGAGCCAGAACCAGGAGCTGGGATGCTGACTCTCAATGGGGTAACTCTGCAAAGAGCATTAGACTATTCATCCATGAGATACTTATAACACATGGCAAAATGAAATAAGCAATATCTTTGATAAAGTCCAACCCTAGGCAAGGTAAATTCTTTTTAAAGAAAAATCATTATAAATGGTTATCATTTTTCTGATTATAAAATCAAACATTCTTCAACTTAATGTTTATACTGTAAATATCATTTATTACAACCAATTTATTTGATTATAGAGACTCAGTACCTTAATGCTTTCATTGATTCGATTTATCAACCATGAAAACAACCTGCTGTAGAGGTTTTTAGCCAGAGCATCACGGGCATAGTAAGCCTGTTGAAAAAGAAAAAGAGAAACTCAACACCCACAATTACCACAATACTTAATTTTGATGAAATTATAAAGACACTTTAAAGAATACTTCTTTTCAGAACCAGTTTTTATTATACTCTGAATGAACAGTCAAGCCCTTAAAAGAATTAACCAAATTGTTTATACCCAGTTATTTTATACTTTTTCTCATTCCAGGAAACTAATTTTAAATATTGCAAAGGCCTTCTCCACGAAAGTATTCATCTTGGTGTTAATGGAGCAAAGAAAACTCAGAGGCACTTTAAAAGTCCAACAGTAGGGTGATAGTAAAATAAATAAACACCCACTGAAAACGATGTAATACAGTCATCATATAATGAAATAGAAAATGTTTATGGTGTATTATGTGAAAATAAAAAGAAACTATAGAATTAGGACAATGGCAACTACTGTTTTTTTTTTTTTTTTTTTTTTTAAGCCCCTACACATAGGAAAGTAAACTTAAAGGAAATAGATTAAAATGGTTTTCACTGACGGGATCTGTAGTTTTTTCTTCATTCAACCTTTTTAATATTAAAAAAAATCTTCAACAATGAGTTTTTAAAATTGTATAATAAAAATAAAATCGTTTTATTTGTTAATTTATTTAGTTACTTTAACGCTGTTCCGAGTGACTTGACAAAAGAAGATGAGGATGTCTCTATGACTGACTTAGAATCCAAAGACTGGAGAAGGTTAGGCTCGGTGGGGAGAACCTCAAGGCACCTAAATATACTGGGTGCCCAGAGTATACAGCAACCAAGTATCACTGAGATGTTTCATACCAGCCCTCCCAGGGTGGCCTGGAGCCTAAGAAGGAATTGGCCTAGGGAGAGGACAGCTAGAGGTTTTGCTGCTGTTTTTAACACTTTGGCTGTATGTGTGTATTTCGTCGCTTATAAGTAGAAAGCTGGATGTGACCGTTAAACCATTATAGTTTTATTTTGTAAACAGTACAACTTGTTCGGTTATGTTGGGATTTTTTTCCCCCACATTTCCTCCTAAATGAAGTGTAGCAACTTTAATAACACACTCAGTTCCCTGGCAACATATTGCAGCTGAAAAGACAGCACCTTTTCCCTTATCTGACACTTCTGAGCTAGTTCCAAACCTTCCTCATTAAGCCTCTGACAGCTACTCCAATCAGGGTTGGCAAAATACACCTAGAAGTTGGCAAAAAACAACCTTCTTGTACACTGCTGTTTAAACAAAGGGGTAGGTGGGTGATTCCAAAGTAGAAAATGCATGTAAATGCTGAAACAGTGAAAGAAGCCAAAATATAATTTTACATGCATACTTTCTCTAATACCTCTTCTCCGTAAAATACCGTATTTTTTATGCAAATAGCACACGCCTTCTATGTTTGCCAACTGCATCCTCCACTGTGAAGTATACTGCTAAGCATGCTATGCTAAAATTTTCTTTACAGCAATATAAAAATACCTCGCGGGTAGAGGGCGCGGTTGGCAAACAAACGTGGAAGGCACACGTTATTTGCGTTAAGATACAGTGAGTAATATGAGTAAATGATTAGAATGGTGCTGGGCACACAGTAAGTATATAACCCATTGCCATAAAGTTGATTCCAACTCATGGCAACCCCGTGTGTTGCAGAGTAAACCTGCTCCATAGGGTTTCCTTGGCTGTAATCTTTACAGAAGCAGACTGTCAGGCCTTTCTTCCACAATACTGCTGGGTGGGTTCAAATTGCCAACCTTTGGGTTAGCAGCCAATCACAAACCACTTGCACCGCCCAGGAGCCCTAGTCAGTCTATAGATTTATTTATATTATGATTTTTGAAGTATCCTTTCTTTCATGGTCCCATTTAATCTTTCTTAATCCTTTCTCTTCTTGTAAATTCGAGTTATCTCAAAACACCACATATTCACACACAGATACTTTTTCATCTTAATTTTGTCCAGTGTTTTACTTGTGTGCTATCTGCTTCAAACAAGCACCATTTCAATATGCAACTGAATTAAGAGTAACCGCTTATTCTAGTAAACTGCTTTATATTTTTTAAAGTGTATATTCACAGCCATATTAATTGTCTTTGCTTCCTTCAAACAAGTATTTATTCCAGGGGTTGCAGACTGAAACGTTTCCAAAGACTGTCTGATAGAAATGAGTGAGAAGTGGTGGGATCTGTAGGGACTGCAGGTGCATTCCAGGCTAAAGGCCCTCAAAATCAAAATTAAAAAAAAAGAAAAAGAAAAACCCACCCTTTAACCAAATAAAACATGCCTAATTGAGCTCTAGCTTGCCCCATGTAAGGCCAATTAGCCATCCCTAACTCCTGGAGTCTGATTCATGTCACCTAATCTTCACAACAAGGAGCCCTCGCGGTGCAGTAAAGTGCTCGGCTGCTAACCAAAAGTTCGGCAGTTCAAATCCACTAGACGCTCCTCGGGAGAAAAGACCTGGCTATCTGCTCTTGTAAAGATTACAGCCTAGAAAACCATATGGGGCAATTCTACTTAGTCACATGGGGTCGCTTTGAGACGGAAACAACTCGATGGCAAACATCAAAAACACCATGAGTTGGAACTGACTCGACAGCACACAAAATCAATCATCTCCACAATAACATTCTATAAAGCAACAGGGCAGAGGTTTCTATTCCCACTTAAGAATTCCTAATAAGATGTGCAGAAATAAGGGAAGGCACCAAGTGCCGCTGAGCTACTACCTCAGATTCTAAGCACAATATAAGAAGATTATGCATTTCTGCAGCTGCATGGGGCCGCTGTGAGTCAGAATCTATTGCATGGCAATGGATTTGGTTTTTTTGTTTTTTTAAATGAAGCTCCCTGAGAAAATCCCGGGCAGAATCTGCTCAAGAGAGTGTCAGCCAAGGTGGAGATACAAGAGGTGGATCCAACATGGAACTCACCCTCCAGGAGCTAGGGAGATCTAGCTAATACAAGAGAAACCACCAGGGGCCCGTGCCAAATGGTAGGAGAAAGAGCTCTGAGAAGGGAGGATCAGGGGGCCCTGGTGGCACAGTGGTTAAAGCAATCGACAGCTAACCAAAAGGTTAGCGGTTCCAAATCACCAGTGGTTCCAGGGGAGAAAGAAGTGGCAGTCTGCTTCCACAGAGATTTACAGCCTTAGCAACCCTATGGGATTGCTACGAGTCGGAATCAACTCGATGGCAGTGAGTTTGGTTTGGTTTTAAGTTACATAATGAAAGGAGTCCCTGGATGGTACAAACAGTTATTGTGCTCAGCTGCTCACCCAAAAGGTTGGAGGTCTGAGTTCATGCAGAGATGCTTCAGGAAAAAGGCCTGGTGATCTACTTGTGAAAAATTGGTCACTGAAAACCCTATGGAGCACAGTTCCACTCTGACACACATGGGGTCACTGTGAGTTGGAATCAACTTGAGAGCAACTGGTGATATGTAATCAAGAAAGGCTTCTTGGATGACGTTCAGTCAGGTGAGGGCCATTTAAGTAGGCAGAAGGAAGGGGCAAAGGCATGCGGGATGTGGTGCAAGTAGGAGCAAAAGCACACCAGGTAAAACTAAGTATGGCATTTAGAGAACTAGCAGGGAATAAACTGAGATAGGTAGCGTAGGTCAGATTACAGATGGCCCTGAAAGCCAGTGAGAGAGCATGTGGTAGCAGCTAAATAATAAACCCTGTCTTGAGTTTCCCTTATTTCAATATTAGCCATCATATCTGGGGAAAGATCTAAAATGCCTCAGGGAAAACGAGGCATGGCGCAATAAAGATGATACTGGGGTCCAAGAATGGAAGGTATGAGGAAAAGTTAATAAAAGAAATCACTTCTCACTGGAATCAAAACCTTCCAGGCAACACGATAATAAGGTCGACAGAACTTACCCTGAACACTAACTACACTTAAAAAAACAGACTTGATTAAGAAGCTGACTAATTGAGGACTGCAAGCCAAATTCTTTTATGCCACAGGTTTAAAAAAATGCAGAAATTTTTACCCAGTGATGCAAGGTGACTCAACAAGCTTATAAAGTAAAAGGCACCTGGGCCTGGTTTCCATAGAAGGTGATTAAAAAGCAAGAGTAAAACGCACAATAAAAACAAGAATATATATATATATATATAGGGCCTACAACACAGGTTTTTTCTTCACATCATTATATACTTAACTCCCAGGAGTTACTGAAAATGACCTTCAAGTAGATGATCTCAAAGTGTAGTCCGCAAATCAGCAGCAGCAGCAGCATCACCTCTGAGTTGCTGAAAAGCAACTGAGTCACACACTCTAGGCTTTGGAGCCTGGAAACTGTTTAACAAGCCCTGCAGGAGATTCTGATGCATCAAGTTTGATAATACTTCTGTTCCACTCTAACTCCAAACATAACCTTTCCAGCCACATTCCTTTGCATCCTTTTCTTATAGCTAAAGCTGCAGCCAAGCTGGATCAATCCTTTTCCTCATATATACTGCAAATCTGGTTATTCTGTTTTCTCTTTTTGAAATGTCCCTTTCTCCATTCTTTATACACTCAAATCCTGCAAGACTGGCTCAGAAACCATCTTCTCCATGAAGTTTTCTTTAATCCCTTCTACCCCCAGTAATGGCCTACACAGCAGCTTGTTTGAGCAGGCTCTCAACCAAACCTTCTTGATTAAGTCAGTCACCGGCCATCTGACTTTGAAAGGTAAGACTGACTTGGACAGACATGATGGCAGAACCAGTAATTTAGGATGATGGGCAGACAATAGTTATAGCTAGAAAAGGACTGCTACAAACCAAATTTACATATACATAAAGTTTAGGTATTTTCCATAGCCAAAGACTCTTCAAAAATAAGAAGCCAATGTTGAAAGAAAGCTAAAGCTGTGTAGGCATTCTTGTATTAATAAGAAAGACTAGTTCACACCAAGAGAGAGATGTCCAACTCCACCACACTGTCTTACAAATGTTTAAGGTTAGTTACATGGAGGATGAGACAAGAGAATAAAATTGGATAGACAAAATAGGCCCAGATCCAAACACTGGTCCATTTAACTTGAACTAAAAAGAGAAGTGTGGTCACTGAATTTTTAAAAGAGAAGAAAGCAGCTCACATTTGTGTCTTAGAAGGACTGCACTGACCACAGTGTTGAGGACAGAGGGAGTACAGTATAGAAAGTTAGTTGCTGTTGTGGTAACTTTAACTCATGGCAACCTTATGTATAACAAAACAAAGAGTTGCCCAGTACTGCACCATCTTCATGGTCACTGGTACGCTTGAGTGCATTATTGTGGCCATTGTGTCAATCCATCTTTTTGAGGATTTCCCTCACCTTCACTGGTCCTCCACTTACTGAACATGAGGTCCTTCTCCAGCGATTGGTCCCACCTGATAACGTTTCCAAAGTAAGCAAATTGAAGTCTCAGCGGATGGAAGGAGTATAATATTGAAGACAGGGAGGCCAATTCGGCCATTTTGAGAGATGTCAAGGGCCTGACTAAGGCACGAGTAGGGGAGTTGAGAGGAGGTGACAGGTAGGAGAGCTGTAAATAGCATAGATATGAATTGGTCACTGACTGGCTGTCAAGGAAGGGAAGAGAACTGAGAATAATTTCCAAGTTTCTGAACTGGGAAATGGGATAAATGGTCACCATCTTCATTTTACAAATGAGACAATGAGGCTCACAGAATTTACCTACGGAGCCCAAGGTCACAACTGCTTGAAACTGGCAGAGCTGGGACCAGGTCACCTGACTTGCAGTCCAGTGGTCCTACTCCATGTCATCAATCTCTTTCCTACTCCCCACTCAGCTCCTCACCACAAAATCAAGATGATACTCTCCTTGCCTACTACCAAGATCTTTAGAAGGATCAAATAAATAACAAAAAATAGTAATCACTACTGGAAAAGAAATCTATTAAAAGCAAAAGTCCTAGGATAATGGGTAAAGAGAATAATTTTACTATAGATGGGCTACTACTATTAGCACACCGAAGACATGCTCATTTTACTTAGTTATAATGCTGCGAAAGAAAAAAGAAACATTTGTTGATAGTACAATATTCATTACAGAAGAGTCTACTACCCTCCATGTCTGAAATCCTTCTTTTCTCTTGTCTCCCCAAACACTATGCTCCCCTGGTTTCCTCTGTTTCACTGGTGCTGTCCCAGTCTCCACATCAGGGACTCCTCCTCCACAACCCAGAGTTCTGTCCTACATCCTGTTCTTTTCTCTTTATGTCTCTTTGGGCAATTTTATTCAGTACCATGGCTTTAAACACCATTTCTATGATGACCCCGACTTACATCTCCAGTCAGACCTGGACCCACATAAAAACCATCCACTTGGCTGTCTAGCAGGTATCCTTTTTGTTGTTGTTGTGAATATACACAGCAAAACACACACCAGTTCAACAGTTTCTACATGTAAAATTCAGTGACACTGACTACATTATAGTCTTCGAGTTGTGCAACGATTCTCACCCTCCTTCTCTGAGCTGTTTCTCCCCCATTAACATAAACTCACTGCCCCCTAAGGTTCCTGTCTAATCTTTTCGAGTTGCTGTTGTCACTTAGATGCCATGTAGATAGTTCTTAAAAGAGCATAATGCTCAAGGCAGACATTTTTTACTAGCTAAACTACTGTTTGGTTTTAAGAAGACTTCACAGGATATTTCTGGTTTAAGGTTTAAAGATTATCTCAGGGCAGTAGTTTCAGGGGTTCATCCAGCCTCCATGGCTCCAGAAACTCTGCAGTCCATGAGAAGTTGAAATTCGCTAGCAGGTATTTTAACAGCCCAAAACAGATTGCACAATCCCATTCCCATCCCGAAATATATTTTCCTTCTCATCTTCCTCATCTCAGAAAATGTACCAGTTGCCCAAGTCGATTCTCATCATCATCATCTTTGACTCCTTTTTTCTCACATTACACATTCGATCCATCAATTAATTCTGTTAGTTCTTCTCCAAAACATATCCTCTTCTCCTTCTTTATATGACCATCCTCTTCCAAGGCACCATTATATCTCATTAGTCTCTCCATTTCTACCTTATCTCCCCACTACCCATTCACCATATAACAGCCAAAATCATCCTTGAAAAATGTCCATCATATAACATCTCACCCCTGTCTGTCACATTACTTAGGATTTACTTCCCTCATTACTATGCCTGAAATCATCTCATTGATGTATTTACACTGAAGTTATAACTATTAGCCTCAAGTGGCCCGGATAATCCATTCACTCCACCCACTCTCCTAGATGCCTATTTCACAAATCCCCTCTCTCTGTAAACCTCCACACCTCAACCAGTACTCCCCCCCGCCCGCTCCTTGCAAACTCCCATTCCTCCCCTCCCAGTCTATCTCAAATCCATTGTAACCAGGCCGTTGTCCTCGTCACGCCACCAAAATAACTCTTATGGAGGTCACCAATGACCTTCACATCATTAAATCAAATGGTCAACTCTCAGTCTCATTGTCCTTGACCATCTACATTTAACTATGGTTCTCTCTCACTCTTTCTTGGAACACTTTCTTCACTTTGCCTCTGGGATATTGTTCTCTTTTGGTTTTCTCCTTTTACCTCAACTAGCTTCTCCTTCCCAGTCTCCTTTGATTATCTTCCCCTCTCTATATATTGGATTTGCCCAAGTCTCAGTCAGCACACCTTTGCCTTTCCCTATCCACATTACCTCCCTAGGTCACCTCAACAGCATCATGGCTTTTATTACCATGTATACACTGATAAGGGAGCCTTGGTGGCGCAGGGGTTAAAATGGTTAGCTGCAAACTGAAAGGTCAGTGGTTCGAACCCACCAGCCGATTCGCTGGAGAAAGATGAGGTAGTTTGCTTCTGTAAAGATTTACAGCCTTGGAAACCCTATGGGGCAGTCCTGCTCTGTCCTATAGGGTCACTATGATTCAGAATCAACCCAACAGCAATAGGATATGCTGATAAAGGAGTCCCTGGATGGCTCAAACAGGTAAGCACTTGACTATTAACCAAAAGGTGGACCATTCAAATCCATTCAGAGGTGCCTCGGAAAAAGGACCTGGTGATATGCTTCTGAAAGGTCACAGCCATGAGAACCCTACGGAGTACAGTTCTACTCTGCAACATGTGGGGTCGCCATTAGTCGGCAACTAGTTTTAAACACTGATAATTATCAATTTTATATCTCCATCCTGGACTTCTTGAACTCCAGACTCAAACATTCTGTTCAACATCTCTACTTAGATTCTAATTCACATCTTTAACTTCAAAGGACCAAAATCATACTCCTTTTTCACCTCTAGATAAACTGGCTTCTTCCACTGTCTTCTCCAAACAAGAAAATGGCAACCCCATTTTTCAGTTGCTTGGGCCAAAAATATTGGAGTCATCTCTCTTCTCTGTTTCCTCATATCACACATTCAAGCCATCAACAAATCCTGTTGCCTCTACCTTCAACATATATCCAGAATCTGACCACTTCTCACCAACTCCACTGCTTACCACCTGGTTCAAGCCACCATCATCTATCTTTCACCTGGGTCGGTGCATGTCTCCTCTAAGTTTCCTGCATTTACCCTCCCCTCTCTCCAATCTTTTCTCCACACACAGCCAGAATGACCCTTTGAAATACAATTCAGACCATGCCACTCTTCTGTTCCACAACTTCCAATCCTTTCTCACCTCACTTGGACTCTCCTTCCCTCGTCCCCATCTCTAACCAAAAGGTTGACCGTTCAAATCCATTCAGAATAAAGGGTCTCCCTTATTCTGCTCTACTTTTTCTCTGTCCACTGCACTTATACCTGATAACCTGCTGTACAATTTACTTAATGATTATGCCTGTTTTTTATTGTCCAGCTCTCCCTGCTAGAATGTTAAGCTCCATGAGGACAGGGACTTTTATCTGTTTAGTTTAACGATACCTAGAATATGGTGTGAAAATTAAGATAATTGCATGCTGTTAAAAAAACTAAAATTTTTATTTAACTTATTAAAAAAAATCATAGACTTTCTTAAAATTTTTCTTCTGGATGTTATGTTTCACCCACCTGAGCCACGTTTAGTGTAGTTGAAACTTTCTCCTGCTTGGCTTCAACTGTTCGGAAACTGAATGCTCGTTCTAGAACTGACTGATCAATGCCAGTCAACTCACAAATTTCTTTTAACTCTGTAGGGAGGAACACAAAATGTGTGCTGGTAATAATTGTCAAGGCTTATGTAGTTTTCTCTAACTGTTTTATGATCATCACGTTCAAAATGAACTGTAAAAAATGCACAAATCAAAAGATTTAAAACAGATGCAATTATATTTCTGTTCACTTTTACTAGAAAGCTTTTTCAAATCAATGAAAGCAAAAATTTCATTTTCTAGATTAAAGACTGGGCAAAAATTCAAAGCAAGCTTTGTTAAACAAAGTTGATTCTCCACTGCCTTACCATTTTTATCTTTGATTTTGCTTTCATCTAAACCATTCACTCGAGACTCGGGCTTGAACTCGATGTTCCCCAGTTTCAACACCGCTGCCACCACCTCCAAGATAGATTCGACTTCATGATCCATAAAGCCCACGATTTGCATGGCATTCTGGAAAAAAAAGAAAAGTGTCTGTTTTCCTTCTGTGTATCTTTTTTTTTTTTAATGAATCATATTATAGATATATTTCTGGGGGGAAAAAACTTTCAAAAAGGTAAGCCTTTTAACAGACTTATTATAGAACCAGTGTGGGGTTAAGTCTTGTTCAGTGGTTTCCAGCTGGGATTCACGAAGCCCTTAGGTACCTCACACGGTGTGGTAGAGGGAGACATACAGAGAGAAAGATGGAGAAGAACAGGCTGAGAGCAGAGCTCTGGGCCTACTGCCCTGCTTTAACCGTAGCCGTTCAGAGTGTGTGTGCATATATGTGTGTCTGTGTACACACACATATATATAATGCATTTTTCAAAATACTGGGGGTCTGCTACTAAAAAACAAAACCAAACAAAAAGCTTTCACAAGCCCCTACAAAGAAAACCTCCTCGTTTATTTTACATGTGAGAAAATTAAGGTTTGCAAAGACAGAGTGCCTCGTCCAAGGCACTACAGTAACAAGGGGCATTCATTCATTCATCAACTTTTATTGAGTGTCAACAATGTGCCAGGCAAAATGGTTACAGAACTGAACTCAAGTCTTATACAAAACCATGTTCAGAAATCAACAGATTACTGCTCCCATTATACAGTTTTTTAAAACGACGTATTCTAAGAGACGTTTGCTTTTTAAGGACAGCAGGCTTTTTCTTTTTAGTGACTAGATGATACAGTCCTACAATAGGAATAAAATAAATTTCAAACACATATAAAGGCAGAGAGAACAGGCAAGAAGCCTCTCGTCCCTTTCACTCACCCTCAGCAATTAACTGATGCCAGTCTTGTTTTATTTATAATTTGACCTACTCCCTCACCTCATCCCCACCAGCTGTGTCACTGAAAGGAAATCCCAGTTATCAAATTGTGTCATAAGAGAAGTAATTTTGAAAGTGACACATAAACATCAGAAACAAAATATTATTTTAAATCCTTTTCTAATGAATGTGGAATGCTGATCATTCTCTTTTATACAATATTTTCCTAACACTGCATAAAAACATGACTTTCTGTCTTAAAAAACAGTTTGATTAATAATCTCAGGGCAGTTTTCACACTTGGAAGTTAACTACTGATTTTTGGCTATGAAAACATTTGGAATTTAAATACAACATTAAAAGAGTCAAACTCCAGAATAATATAATATGGAAGGAAGCTCCTTTTGATAAATGGTGGAAACATAGGCTTGAGTAAAGCATGGCCTTCACAATATAGTTAGTAAAAAAATCAAACTAATAAAATACAATAAATTATTGTAGAATTCTAAGAACTTAGGGAGCATGTGCCTGAGTTAAAGAAAACCCAGAACTGTTACCAATTCCAATTAAGCAAAATAGTGTTACCCATTTTAAAAATGTAATCAAAGCATTACATCTTACCCTAATGGTTCTGAAATTTGCCGCATCGTCTACTCCATTAACTGTGGCAGAGTCCAGGCTCAAGTAGTTATATCTGCTGAAATCCCGCTCAAGTTTAAGTTTACCTATTGAATCAGATATACAAATTAATTGCTTCAATAAATCTAATCATCTTTAATATCACATCCCTGTCAGATAAAATGACCTTCATGTTATGTATCGAACCAACAGAAGAAAAACAATAGCAGCATTTTTCTAAATATCCCTGTCAATACATATTTCAAACTCTGCTTTCTTACATTGATTCTTTCCATATGTTTTTATAATATAAAATATCTTTAATGTACTATTTTATTATAACATACAATGTCTGCCTAGAGATAGCCCCACAATTGGGCACTGCGTTGTCTCTGGTTTTTAATAAAAAATACAGGGCAGTGATAAAAGTCTCAACACAAATTGTTGTTTGCATTCTTTTGAATGATTGCGTTGAGATATATTCTGAAAAGTGGTGTGACTGGCTGATCGGCTCTGATCACCTTATGACTCTTATTCTGGATTGTCAATTAGTCCTCCAGGAAGAAGTCCTTGCTGAGAAGTGGCACCCACAACCTTTAAGTAGACTACTGTCTGACAAATCTGCCAGTTTTGTCCTTTTTAGTAATTTCTGCAAATATACTTAGAGTGCATACTTCAATGTTGTTTTAATTTGTATTTCTTGATTATTAGTGAGGCTGAATATTTTCCCAAGTGTTGATGACTTTCCATAGCTCTTCCTATTTGATCTGTATTAAAACTTCTCATTACTTAGTAGTGGCTATTGGATACTATCCTTATGGACTTAATTAAGTCTCTAAAATATTCAATGGTCACATTTTTCTCTCTGGTATTAGTTGCACATGATTTACACACTACTTTTAAAATCTTTATTGAGCAACTTGTTTTTATATAATTGTATTCCTCTACTGCTCTCTACGAATTTCCATTTCTCTGTGGACACTTTTATTTTTTTCTTTTTTAATATATGATTAGTCCCTCCCCAATATGTAGCTCTTTTAGTCCATCAGAGATGTATGGTACAGTATCTGGCTGGTGAGGTACAGGGATACAAAACAAATGCTGCTGACGCGTGCTAGAAGCGAACACACCCTTTTCTTCAGTTTAACCAGTCATGGAAAAATCTTAAGGAGGAAGGAAAAAGCATACAGTATACTTTTAAAGAAAATGCTTTGGAAAACACTATGGCACTCAAAATTAATACAGAAATAGAGACTTACTGAGGAGTTCTTCAGAGGCACCAGAGAGCAGCTGATAGAACACATGGAAGTTTCTTTCACCTCTTGGCTGCTTCACAACTCGAGATTTTTCTAAAAGATCTAACAAGGAAAAGAATTAGTCTCCAGAACCAAAGCCTTTACGGTCGAGTCAATGCCGACTTACAGTGACCCTACAGGACAGAGTAGAACTGTCCCATAGTGTTTCCAAGACTGTAAATATTTATGGAAGCAGACTGTCCCATCTTTCTCCCATGGAGCAGCTGGTGGGTTCAAACTGCCCACCTTTCAGTTAGCAGCCGAGCACTTAAACACTATGCCACCAAGGCTCCTGAATCAAACAGTAGTATAGTATCTATTTCATCTTCTTTTTCCCTCATCTGTTTTCATTTTCTATTTCGTATAATAAAATAAAATAAGCTACATTTCTGCTCTACTTTCAGGAAAAAGGACAACTCTAATTAAAATCACCAAAATAAACAAACTAGGTTATTTTTAAACCGTGTAATATGCAAAATAAAGTACATTCAACAAACTGATTAAATAAATACAGTTTTTACACCAAATTCCCTTGGTTTTACAGAATGTAACATGCTATTAATTTTAAAAATTTAACATTACAAACCTAAAAAATGAAATGCAGCTATCTAGTTATGAATTTCCTTAATTTCAATGATTTTTTAAAAAGTGAACATTTTTGAGATCTGATTATGTGCTAAGCGCTTACAGACATTATCTCATTAAATCTTTCCAACCATTTTTTAAAGTTATTATTTTACAGATGAAAAAACCGACAATTCAAGAGTTGAAGTAACTTAGCTATAATTGGTGGAACTAGGATGTGAAATCAGGCCATCTGGCCCAAGTGCTGACTCCACCTCATAGCCACACACCACACTACCAAAAATAAGTAAAACAGATTTTCTTGATATCTTGAAGTCTTAGAGGATTGTAAATTGGTTCCCATCCAATGCAATTTGGTGTTACAGTAAATCCCCAGGTTGCGAACTTTCGATTTACAAACAACTCATATTTGCCCTTTAATGTTATGTAAATTTGCCCTCACTTTGAAACGACTGAATCAATCCCTACTCACAACAAATTCTTTAACACAATCACCTTCACTTGCTGCAAGTGCAGCATTTAAATCACTGAAAAGGCTTTGAGCCTCTTCTTGCATTAAAGTAAGGCTAAATAAGAACCGTATGCACTTGTTCTGACTTATCTACAAATTCAACTTAAAGACACACTTAGAACGGATCTCGTTCGTAAGTAGGGGGCTGCCTGTATTTGACAGTACACATTCAGTGATTCCAGAGAACTTTTCATTACTTAAACTTGGGGTTTTATCAATTTTTCCAGGTTTCATCCAGAAATGGAAAGATAGATGGATGGGTGGACAGATGGATGGGCGGATAGACGGATGGATGGATAGACTAACGAACCAGAAAGGAGTCAGTGCACCAGTATAAAGAAGAGCACAATGGCAGGCAATATCTTGCCTGGAGTGCTGATCATCATTAACCAATGATACAAGAGAGGGCTCTGAACACTGCAGGCAAAGGCCAAATTTAGCTATAAAATTTCAAATCAGTGATCCCATTACTGACCACTAATTCTAGAGAACAGACATATCTGATTCCCAATCAGCTTGAAATCTAAACATTATCAACACGGGGAGATAGGGAGAGAAGGACGTGCAATCTTTCTCTGAATGGTCACTGGACTTCCTTCATGTATATTTCTGGAACCCATAAGGGCATTTGAAGAGGAGCCTAGGAAGAGTTAAAAGGTTGTAGTTTCATGAACAAAAAGCCCTAGGGTACTACTCCTAGGAATATATCCTAGAGAAATAAGAGTTGTCACTCGAATAGACATATGCACACCTATGTTCATGGCAGCATTGTTCACAATGGCAAAATGATGGAAACAACCTAGATGCCCATCAACAGATGAATGGATAAAACAAACTATGGTACATACACACAAAGGAGTACCATGCAACGAGAAAGAACAACAATGAATCTGTGAAGCATCTCTTAACATGGATGAAACTGGAGGACACTATGCTGAGTGAAATAAGTCAATCACAAAAGGACAAATATGGTATAAGACTTCTATTGTAAAAACCCATGAAAAAGTTCACACACAAAATGTAACAATCTTGGTTGGTTACCAGGGATGGGAGGGGTGGGGGGGAAATACTAAATAGGCAATAGATAAGTGGTATCTTGGGTGAAGGATGAGACAGTACACAATACAGGGGAAACCAGCACAACTTGTACAAG